TTTATGGTGTAAATACATAGATTAGAGCTGAAAACTCAAGGAATTAATAGACAAAAATGGTGATTAGGGCTTGAAACTTAAGAGAGCTAAAATGGGGATTTGAGGGGTCATTTGGACTCCGATTTTGGTGTTCTTTATATGTATAGACTCGTGGCGAGATAAGGAATCCGTTGATGGTAAATTTTCTAATTTTCGAGAAAGTGGGTCCGGGGCTCGGGTTTTGCTAATTTCGAGATTTTCACTATTTTTTGATTATTTTCAATTGGGAATTGTCCCATTGGCATATTGTGACGTATTCGTTGTGGTTTTGATCAGATTTGGTGCAGGAGGAGGTCAATTCGAAAGGCAAGGGCATAGCGAGCTAGGATTTTGGCCGGCTTGAGGTGAGTAATAGATGTAAATGATGTTCTGAGGGTTTGAAACCCCGTGTTTGCACATCGTAGTGCTATATTGAGGTGACTTGCATGTCAGGTAGCGAGCGTGGGGTATAGCACCATTGGGGATTGTCACTTGGTCCGTCCCGGTAGATGAATGTACTGCGTATTTGACTGAAATTCACTTATTATCATTTTAATTGAGCTAATTGCTATGTTTGGGCTTCGTGCCAATTGATTGAATCCTTCAGGGATTATTACTACCGGTTTCTTACCATTTATCATATCATTGAACTCAGTCCTAATGTTTAATACTGTTTTGCAAACTCAGCCACCTTTTCTCAAACTAGAAACTTAATTAATATTTTTAAATAAAGTTTGGGCTGAATATTTCTATATTATTGTGCCCGAGAGGCTTATGTGATTTTGGACTGAGTATGGGATCGGGCTGCACGCCGCAGCGGTATTGTATTGATATTGATATGAGGCCGAGGGCCTAGTTGATGCCACGAGATGGCTTATTATTGCGCTTGGGCTGTAAGGGGCCCCTCCCAGAGTCTGCACACCCCCAGTGAGCGTCGTCGAGGATATACAAATGGAGCGGGCTGCACGCCGCAGCGGGTACTGGAGAGTACCGGTCTATGTGTTGCATTGCATCTTTTTAATTGTCATTTATTCCTTTATCCGCTGTGATATTTCTATAATTGTTTTCACTGTTTTACTGATTTTGTGCTACTGGGTTCAAGTTGCTGTATTTATAGAATTACTTTGTGCCTCTTCAGGATTTCTTGTTCTCAGTCTTTATTTATGTTTACTACTCACTGGGTCGGAGTACTCACATTACTCCCTGCACCTTGCGTGCAGATCTAGGTACTACTGAGGCTGAGTGAGGACTTCTCTGCCTAGCATCACATTTGGGAGTTTCAAGGTAGCTGCATTTGACGTTCGCAGTCCTGATCTTCCTTCTATCTTATTTATTTTGTTTCATCATTTCTAGAGAACGATATGTAGTAGGTTGATACTCATGTATCAGAGGCTCAGACTTGTGACACTGGATTCTACGGGCTGTGTATTCATTTTATATTTTGGGATTCCCACATGTTTAACTCTATTTCCGGATTTTAGTATTTTGACCCAATAATTATCTGTGTCAATTCATACATGAGCTGGATAAAATGATTAAGGTTATGTAATTGGTCGGGTTTGCCTAGCAGCGTGTTGGGCGCCATCACGACCGGGGTTGGGGTCGTGACACCATAGTTGCATCTATCTGCTACCGAGGCGTTCGGCCCGCTCCTCAAATAAAAAATACTTCAAAGAAACACAAATTCTCAATAATAGTCAAGTGTTTCATTTACAACTTCAAGTAAGTGAAATTTAACCTTTTACAATTCATTTATCAAATTTTAATATGACTTAAGTAATTAAGTTATCAAGTAGGGGCAAACATTGCAAGTATAGCATGATATGGGTCCTAGACTGCCCAGACAATAGCATAATTAGTAGCTGTGTACTGACTCTCGTCACCTCGTACGTACGTAGCCCCACAAATAGAAACACATTTTAATTAATTCACCTATAAGGTTAATTCCCTCTTACAAGGTTAGAAAAGAGACATACCTCGTCTCAAAACCTACTTTCATTCCAAGATTGTGCCCAAACCCTCAATTCAGTGCCAAACGACTCGAAACTAGTCAAATATTATACAAAAAAATCAATACATGTTCAAAAGTTCGTATTCGAACTATCAAAGTGATTTCCCAAGCCTATTTGAAGAATCCCTAAAATTCACCCCCCAGGACCACGTGTTCGGATTTCGGAAATTTTTGAAGAAAGTTGTTACCCATAACCTCATGAGCTCAAATATATGATTTTCCCTAAGTTCCCTAACAAATTTCGTGGTTAAATCCCATTTTTATCAAAAATCTTGGTTTTCATCTAAACCATTGATTTCACCAATTTTTACATGTTAATCTACCCATATTCTATGTATTTAACTCATGTTGTGTAGAAATTACTTACCTCAAAGTGCTCGGTGAAAACCCCCTTCCAAGAGCTCTAGAAATCACCCAAGAGATGAAAGAAAATGAGCTAAATGGCCTAAGTCCCGCATTTGATAGAGCTGTGTACAGGTCTCAGATGTCGCATTTGCGATACCTAGTTCGCAAATGCGAAGGTCGCAAATGCGAACTTGGGTTTCTACTGCCAAGGTCGCAAATGCGACCAAGGAGTCACAAATGCGGGCACTGTTGAGGTCGCATTTGTGTCGCAAATGCGGGCACTGTTGACGTCGCATTTGTGTTGAAAATGCGGACACTACCCAGATCAGGCTTCTTCGCAATTGCGAAGCCTTTCTCGCAAATGCGAACAAATTCTCGCATTTGCGAGACCTGCAGCACCAGTAATAAAACACCAGAAAACTAAGTGTTTTCCCAACCTTCTGAACATCCGAAACTCACCACGAGCCCTCGGAGATCCACACCAAATGCCCACACAAGTCTAACAACATCATACGAACTCGCTCACACGATCGAAACACTGAAATAACATCAAAAACCACGAATCAGACGCCAAAACACGTGGATTAACTCATGAACTCAAAAACTTCTAAAAATATTTCCGTGCGTCTGATTTCTATAAATCAACTCGGAATGATACCAAATTTTGCGTGCAAGTCTTAAATGACATTGCGGAACTATTTCCGATCTCGAAATTCCATTTGTACCTCGATATCACCAAAACCTACTCCAAACCAAATTTAAAGAACTTCAAAAACCTTCAAGGAACCAACTTTCACTATTAGGCGCCGAAACACTCCCGGGTCATCCAAAAGCCGATCCGAGCATACGCCCAAGTCCGAAATCATCATACGAACCTATTGGAATCGTCAAATCCCGATTTCGAGGTCATTTACTCAAAACATTGACCGAAGTCAAACTTAGCCTTTTAAGGCCAACTTAAGAAACCAAGTGTTCCGATTTCAACCCGAACTCTTCCAAATCCCGAACTAACCATCCCCACAAGTCATAAAACAGTAAAAGCACATACGGAGAGTCTTATTTAGGGGAACAGGGTTTTAAAAATCAAAACGGCCGCTCGGGTCATTACATTCCACCCATTTGTTAACATTTTGTTGTGCCTTTAAGCTCTTTTTTTGTCAACAACAATTAATACTCTCTACTGGAGAGTTCCACATGGTTATCAATGGAGGGTTGAAAGTTCAAACTGTGGCTTGTGGGAGGAGAAGACGGCGGGTTTTGCACATGTTCAAGATGGGTGATTCAGTGGGCTGGACTATACATACTGTCCGTTGTTAGTTTTGGGCCCAAGGCTTCTAGCAGGCTTCTGGATTACACAAAAGAGAAATTTTTATAAAGCACTATCTTTTAATGGTAATTAGCTATCTATAGATACCATTTGCTATATTACAGCCTGTAGATACGTTTTTAGATATTTTAAGATGTATTTGATGTATTTAGATTACTGTATTCTTGAATAAATTAGAAAAAAGAGGCGTGAATCATGGAAATCCAGTTAATAAGATGTTGTATTCAACTGTATTCAAGAGTTGAATCATTGAATACAGTAACGTATATTCCTTAAAAAATGGACCTTTCAACTGATTAAAAATGGAAAGAAAATAAATCTAGCAAATAGTCTCCTAATATAACTCAACTAACACAATTATATCACCCATAATCTGTATTTCCCCCTCCATCAAAGATTTTCCATCCGAAAGTATCCAAAAATAGAGCACTCTGTCGATTTTCAATTCTCCCTTCTTTCTTTTCAT